TTTCTTCTATATGTAAATACAGTTTTTCCAAAGTTATTATACTTTTCTTTAATTCTTTGTTTTATTAATTGTGCTAATATAACATGGGTTAGTACACAACCAATAAAACTTGAAAAAAAAATACTTAGTTTGCAAAAACATGCCTCTAGAATTATTTTCGGAAAAAAAAAAAGAAAGGAGCACACTAAACCCTTAATGAGAAATATGAAAATGAAGGATGGAAACGAAATATATTTTTATCAGCACCTAATTTTCATGTAAAATTATAATAGTAATAATATAACTCTGGCTAATTTCATTTGTAGATTTGAGAAAAATGTAAGTGAAAAGTATTTCTTAAGAACAAATCAATTAAATTCCTTCAAACTGCTAAGGAAACTAAATAAATATACAAAATATTTAATAGCATATCGTGGACCTAAGTAATGGAATTCTTTTAAACAAATTAGTGCAAATATGGTAAAATCATTAAAATCATTTAAGTTCCAAGCAAAAAAATACGTTTTGAATTTTGCGGAATAAAAACGTAACCCAATGGTAAATTTATTCAAATGGATTTTACTTATTATTCTTAGTAGTTACTAATGATATATGTGTCTTTTAATGTAAAATTTTTTAATCTTTCTGTATATGCTTGTTTGGAAAAAAGGTTTCTACTTTCTGTCCAACAACATTCGTGGAATAGTGAAATAACATACGCATATTTTTGTTCAAGATCATTCGCTTTTTTTCTTTACTGAATTAACATTTACCCAACAACATCTGATATTTCATTGACGTCTAATAACATCTTTAGAAAGATGTAACTACATCCGGGAGTTTTTCTCAATGTGCAACTACAACCGCCTAAAATAATGCATTATTAAATAAAATAAATTTCCAGACGTCTTTACATCCGAAAAAAATCAGATGAGTAAATACATCTGATTAAATCAATGTATTATTAAAAAAAAAAATTCTGGGATGTAATTACATATATAAACTACATATAGAATTATTATATTATATAAGTGCTGCTACATCGACTGACAAATAGCCTGACTCGCAAAGAAGTGCTGCTACATCGACTGAGGGTTTGGTTTGGGCAGGAAGTCTATTAAAAAAATTAATTTGAAAAAAAAAATATTATGCCTAAAATAATGCATTTTAATAAAATTTTTTTGGTGGGTGTAGGAATATCCAAAAAAAATCAGATGTGTAACTTCATCTGGTTAAAATAACGAATTATTAAAAAATATTTTTTTTCGAGTTACATCCGAGAAATCTACAGATGTTGTTTTTTTGTTTTTTTTTTTATTTCAACATGTTTATTTTACAACTACAAATTATTTACAATTGAACAATCACTGATTGGCGAATAATCGTAACATAAAGTCCAAAATAAATTAGGGATAAATCTAAAATATTGTTACATTCAACTTTGAGACATGATAAAGATAAATACAAAGTACACAATAGAATAACGTGAACGTAAAAATTACCCAAGAAATAAACCTTCTATATTCTTTCAATTAAAATAAAATATATATATATATAAAAGTATGATAAAAACAAGATTTGTATAAGATTGAAGAAAATAATTAATTGTTTGTAGTTATAGGAAGCTCGCAGAAGACTGGGGTCAGTCTTGTCATCGAGTACCTTCTAGACGTGTAATACACATAAAAATCAGTTGCATACGTGGTAAATATGTATGTGGTACATATATGCCTTAAAGTTATTAATGTTACTATCTCCTTTTAGTATTATTTTTATTGTTTTCTTTGAAAAACTACATTTTTTGTTTTATTAGGGTTGTTTTATAGTATTTTTATTTTTAAATTTTAAATTGGAGTTTAAAAAAAACTCCTTGAAGTTGTTTAACTTGATTATTGTAGATTTTAACTTTGTTTTCAGGGACTGTTTGTTGTTTAAATTTAATAGCGATTCGTTTCTAGAAATTATTTTGTTAAATAAATAGGGACCACGATGTTTTATTGAAAATTTTGAGAGTTTAGTTTTTTCAAAGGGTATCTTAAAGTTTCCCGTTGCTCTTGTATTGTATTTGTTTACGTTGTTTTTAAAAAAGTGTGCTGTAAAGAAAAAGTGTGCTGTAGTTGCACGGATGTTATTATAAATCAATGAAATTTCGGATGTTGTTCAGATGTAGTTGCAAAAACAATGACATAGCAAAAACGGATGTTGTTACCCTGACCCGTTTGTATGTATTTCTAACTTTTAAATACCTAGCTTTAAAATATAATTATTGCAAAATATCATTGTAGTTGTAAAAATAATTTACTTTCTGTTTAGTTTATTTTCAATTTTTTTATAATATTACTTTTATACTTTGAACTCTACCTGACAAAATTTTAATATATTAAGGGACTCTTTGAAAAGATTGAGGTGATATTGCATCACCCATATCTTCTTTGAGTCCTGGTCTGTTTTTAAAATATTTTATTTACTGATAGTTACTATGTAGAACTCATCATTAATTTATTTTAACAGCGAAATATAAACTTAAAAAAAGAAAATTTACATCAAAAGTACGAACAGGGACACCATCCATGCGTAACTTGAATTTGTTAATACTCTGATATTTTACAGCTGTTGATGGAATCAGTCACTCTGAGACCTACCACTGAGTTTGAGAAACCTGACTACTAGCCAGCCTCAGAACCATAAAACTAAGTTTTAGAGCTGTATTAAGAGATAATAGAATAAATTGCTTGTCATAAAACAGAAGCACAAACAAAATTCATGCATTGAGTCAAGAAGATCTAGCATTTAACATTCTAAACTGGAAACAATGCATTATAAATATATTTGCGTCAGTCTAATAGATAAAGAAGGAATCCGAGGCTAATCAAAAGATAAAACCTTGGGGCTTAATGATAAGACTAAATTTGCCTTCTTCTACCCCCGGTCATGTAAATATTTTTTTTTAAGTTACGACTGTAAATTTTTTTATTGACTAAAATAGTAAAAAAAAAAAAAAAAAAAAAAACCTGTTTACCCTTTTAGTCTTTGCCTAGGAGGCCTTCTACAAGACAGTAGCCGGATGCGTTTAATATCTGCCCAAGATGAGTATTTTCATCGAAACACCATCTCTATCTTTTACTAAACCAAGATTCACTAGGCAGGGGTTGTTTTAAGTCGGAGTTGGCTTCTCCTAGTCTTTGCCTAAAAAAGTGTATCCTGCACGGCAGCATGATATAAAGCAGGTTGTACTGGGTTACATCTGACCTGACTTTAACGCTTTCACTTTAGCTATAATTAGAAACTTTCAATTAAGTCATAGATTTAGTTGATAGTTTATGTGAAACGAATGGATTTTACAACTTTTTTTGTTTTTTTGTTATATCGCATATATAATTATTTGTTTCAATATTGTATTGAATATTTTTTGTCTTTAACAGTTTTATATTTTCTTATACTTGAAATTGTTTGTGTATAAACAAAACCAGTTGATTTTATAACTCAGGAAAAATCTGTGTGCATGCGTATGGGTTAGAAAGTAGGAATTCTATACAAGTGATGATAATCGTAAACTAATTTATAATGCTGTTGAATCAATTTACAGTGAAATAGGCGAAAGATTTTATGAATTAATAAAAGATATCTTTTTATTTTGTAATAGAAAAAAAAATCAACATTAAGAGTAAAACTATTACTGCAATACAATGAATATGGTGATAAACTGATTAAACAGGATTTTTTTTTTTAGAAACAATACTTGCGAGTATGATTTCTATACAGATGATGACGATGCCTAAATTTAATCAACGCCCCTTTGCAAGAATTACAATGAAACGATAAAGTTTATTTAATTTGTGAAGAACATATTAAAATCAAGAAAAGAAAAAATATTCATTAGATTACACAAAACTTTTTTATTCGAATATTAATCTGGAAACATTTCATGTAAAAGGTTTTGGTGTAGAAACACGACAATTTTGTAGAGAATCTATACCAGTGACAATAAAGAGGATATATCACTCAGTCCTATGTAACTTTGCATGTGTGAAATAATTGTTTTTTTCAAAATTTTAATCGAAGCAATATTAAATTTTATATAAAGAATGTTTAATCAATTGAATTTGTCAATAAAGTAGATAATTTGTCATTATTTGTTTTTTTTTTGAAAATTTGTAAAGAAACTCGACTTTGTTGCAGTGTTTCTATACCATACGTTTATTAAAAATTGCTATAACAAAACCCTTATAAGATAAATTGACAAAGTAACATCATAGGATTAAAGAAGACACAAAAATATTTCGGAAAAAATATAATGTTTCACAAAATAAAACATTTGTAATGTATTTTTCAAAAGCGTGTAAACTTTTGCATTAACTTGAAACGGAGTAATTTTCTTAACTAAACATTTTCTAGTCAAAATAGTAACAAATACACAGTAGAAAAAGTGCCAAATATTTTTTCTCTTTTTTCAAAAACAGCAGATATTTGTGTTAGTGAAACAAGTAAATTACTTTCCAAGTTTTTTAAGATTAGTGCTAGCCACATACTTAAATAAAAATTAAACTGATTCATAGCAAATTTAAACTTGATAATGACAAATATAGAAACACGACACAAACATCACTTTTTGTGCGCTATCTTCAAAAATTCTTCTATTTTCAATTTATTTTGATGTAAGAATGTAATCTAAAAAATTTCTGAGCTATTGATGCAAAAACTAACGTTATCGTCAACCGTTGTGAAATAGAAATCTTCCGTAAAAATGTAGAGTTTCTATACAGAAATTCGTCTAATGATGATGATGATGATGATGATGATGATAATGATGATGATGATGATGATGATGATGATGATGATGATGATGATGATGATGATGATGATGATGATGATGATGATGATGATGATGATGATAGGTAGATAAACTTGACATGATGGAAGAAATATTATAAAAAGACATTTGATAAACAGTATATCATAGAGGGTATACAATCTATTATAGTAAATATAATAAAAACTTTAAACTTTTAATGACTTCTTACAATAAGCGTTGAAGAACCATCATAACTTTCCAACAAAAGAGAGTTTAAGCTAAAAACAGAACAAAGAAAAATATTTCTGTTTCACATAAAATAGAAAGATTCATTGAAAAGCAGAGATTTAATTTTAATTGAACTTGAATTTTAAAAAAACATATGCAACCCGTAATAGTGAGAAAATTACATTTAAAGTTTTAAAAACTAATTGTTCAAGACATTAAAAAAAAAAAAAAATGAATATAATAGAATTACCTTCTATTTTTATCTTCTGAGACTTTAGTATCATTAAATATCTATAAAATAAAAATCATTCTTAACTGCAAATTCTGATAATAAATCAAAACACAATAAAAAAAAACTTGCTTGAAGTTTTCTTTGTTCTTCTCTAAGCTCATCAAAGATTCTCCAGTTATCTGCACTAAATTTTCTTTCCTAGATATATATATATATATATATATATATATATATATATATATATATATATATATATATATATATATATATATATATATATATATATATATATATATATATATATAAATATATATAAATTCATATATCCTTTTCAAAAAACCAAACGATGAATTATTGTATATTAATATTAACTCAAATCATCCACCCCAAATTCTAAAACAAATTCCAATTTCAATTAATAAAAGGCTAAACCAAAACTCCTCTAATGAAAATGTATTCAATTCCTCTAAACAAATATTTGAAGATGCCCTTAAAAAAAGATGACCATGAAAAAAAGAATACAAAAAACGAAATAGAACTAGAAATGTATTTTGGTTTTAACTTAGGTAAAGTGTTTTTAAAATTAGTTGATAAGCATTTCCGCCCTCTAATAAATTACATAAAATTTTTAATCAAAATACAATTAAAGTGAGCTACATTTGCACGAAAAATATGGAAAGAATTATAAAAGGTCACAATAATGCGTTGTTAAACAAAAAAGAAATCCTAAATGAAAAACTACAGAAAATTTGTAAACAAAAAAACAATTCCTCTAAAAATGTAACTGATAATATATTGGCATAACAGAGGGTGAATGGAAAAAACGTTTTGCCAATCATAAGCAATCCTTTAAAAATAAAAAGTATTCAAAAGACACCATGCTGTCAAAATATATATGGGAATTGAAAGAAAAAAATATTGATGATTTTATTTTGAATTAGTCCATTCTTAAAACAGCACCTTAAATATAATATTATTTCCAAAAAATGCACATTATGCCTACAAGAAAAATTAAAAATAATTACACATGCAAACTAAGAATGTTTATTAAACAAAAATTCGGAATTAATTTCTAAATGCAGGCACGAAAATAAGTTTCTCCTAAAAAACTATAAAAAAAAAGTGAGCTCAAATAATAATTACATTAAATCCCCTCTTTTAAAAAATATTTTTTACAAAAAGCAGAAGTAATCAATTCTAAAGAACTCTTTTTATAAAAGTGTCAGCATATTCCACAAATGTGTGAAAATTTACAGTAGTTATGACATTTGCAACTTCTTGTAATTTAATTTTTTGGTATAAACTGAAGTTTTATTAATTTGATTATTCATTTCTAATGAGTCTTTATTGATGAAACACAGTGTTAATGAAAAAAATTTTGCCAAGTGATTTTCTACTACTTTTATATATATTTGCCAAGTGATTTTCTACTACTTATATATATATATATATATATATATATATATATATATATATATATATATATATATATATATATATATATATCAGGCTTGGCCAGGAATTGCTTTCGATTACTGACCACGGAAATAATATTTAGTTGCAAAAAACTGGCCAGATTTTTTAGTTGTTTTAAGAACATTTCAAAAAACAAAAAAAAAGCGCAAAAAAGATTATTTGGACCATGAGAGACATTGACAAAAAAAATAAAAAATATACTAGGAAAATAAAATATTTTTAAACAAAAAAAAACTTAAAGGAAAATAAATTAAGTTTAGAACAGATATTTTCGAAACATCGCTCTTTTATAATTTTTTTATAAAATTAAGCAACATTTTTTATATAAAGTAACATCTTACAATTGCCTGATAAGGAAACAAATGTTCTTTTATTTATCAAAGAGTACAATATAATTTTAATATATATTCTCATGTCTTAGGAGGATTGGGGTTCGAGGGGGCTATAGCCCCAAAAAGTCTAACAAGATTCTATGCTAGTTTTAGTTTTATTTTATGCTTCACGTAGTTTGAAAGGTTTAAAGTATTTGAAACAATTCTTCTTAGTAAGATAAACAAATGAAATAATTAAATCATTGAGTTACTATAGAAATTAAATTAACTATATAGAAATCAACTAAAAAGGTTAAAAATACTTCATGACGAGGAAGCGAAACTGCTTCACAATATCGCTGATGATGTTTAGTGAGTGGGCTTTTTAATTTTAATTAGTATTTAAAACAGAAAAAAGTATAAAGAATTTTTAAGAATGGCAACTGAAGCGAAAATAATTAGAGTTAGTAAACCAATATCTAAAAACTTTTCTTTAAACCTAATAAATTTCTATATATTTGTGCTCTGTCATGACCTTAGGTGCAGTGCTTGTTTATCCACAAGTTACTTAAGATACATGTTTGTGTTTAGTAACCAGAAACTTCTTTTATGTTTATTTCATAATTAGTTTTATTAACTTTTATGATTATTAATAACTTCATTGAAAACGCAATTATTGTTGAAAGTCTTTGTTTACAAAATAAATCGTAAAAATTGCTTTAAAAGATTACATTAAAACAAAAAACATATACACAATATTACATTTACATAAAAAATACATAATTTTTAAATAAAAAATAGGAATGTACTAATAAAATCTATAAATTATAAACTTTTAAAATTTTGACAATTTAAAAAATAGATATTATAAAACATTTATTTTTTTAAACAAATAATAATAGTGGAGTTGCTATTGTGTTAGAGCATGCCTTAAGTATGTAAGGTCTTGTTTGATCTTCAACTTTAGATTTATAACCATTAAGAGTAATGAGGTGACTTCAAACTGTCTCATAATCAAAGGAGATGTAAGGAAGTGATACAGCTGTTTGTTTAGTAAAAAGAGCTAAAGTTTGATTATGAGGTTCAATGGTAAAGACAGATTAAAACTGTTTGTTTAGTGTGTTGGCAATAAAAACTTGGTTGTTACTACTTTCACCTGTCATAGATTGTAATGACACAATCTGGTTGCTTACAGTGTGTTTGCTATTAATATAAACAAAAATTTTTGGGGGGTTTTTCTTGTCATTAGATAAATTAATATCATAGGTATGGATTGCATCACAAGTTGCTTTCCTTACCAGATTTTGAGTTTGTTTGTACTCATTAACCAGAGGAATGGTTTTTCATTATATATATATATATATATATATATATATATATATATATATATATATATATATATATATATATATATATATATATATATATATATATAAATTGCATATAAAATAATAATGTAGGTATATAAAGTCTTTTTATTATTACTGAGTAAAGATTTAACTCTTTAGCTTTAATATGCATTCATCAAGAAAATATATTTTATATAATTTTTAAAAGTTAACATCTTAGATAAATTTTTATATAATTTAACTAAGTTAAAACATCTGATATTACTTAAATAACGAGGGTATATATAACTCATAGAAATTTTATTTTATTATAAAGAATTTTATAAGTACAAGTTTACATGTGGAGTAGATCCGCGTGATATCTCCTTGGATTATATAATACATACTTATGAAATTTGTAAAAACTTGATACTGTTAATGTTTGTTTGAATTTATTTAAGGTTCTGACGACAAGATCCTTTGATCTTCTTTCAGATACCTTATTTTATATTTGTGAAAGTTTATTATTATTATTATTTTTTATTTTTTTGGCAATATATAGTTGTAATACAACCAACAAATGTAAAATTTAAAAAAAAAAAAAAAAAAAAACATACTATAACAGATGTTTCAACTTAATTAAAATATCTGATGTAAGAATTTTAAATATTTTTTCAATTCAAGAGTAAGGAGAATCCATATTAGAATAGGAAAGCATAATAGAATAAAAAAAAAGCATAGAAAAAGCATAACAACATATAGAATGCTTAAAATAGATTTTTACCTAATATTTATTACTTTTTTGATTATTGACTAGATTTATTATTATTATTATTATTATTATTATTATTATTATTATTATTATTATTATTATTATTATTATTATTATCATTATTATCAATATATATTCAATAATCAAAACTATATATTATATAACCCAAAATCAAAAATTTGTCATCTTTACTTAGATGAAAAATTTGAAATCTTATTTTGTTAAGGCACAAAGTTACTTAACTAAGAGGGCTTTGAGTAACATGAGTAACAAACTAACAAAAATGGTCTCTATGTTCAGACACAAATACAACTAAATCATCAAAACTATATATATATATATATATATATATATATATATATATATATATATATATATATATATATATATATATATATATATATATATATATATATATATATATATATATATATATATATATATAAAATATAATATAATATAATATACATTAAGTCATAACATAACTCTAAACTTTACATAACCGACTCTAGTGTTTATATGAACCATACAAAATATGAAATGTACTCTTAGGTGCCTAATAAACAAGAAGGGATGTTTATTAATTTTCAGATATTTTTCCCACCCCTTATTGAGATCCTCCCCTTCCACCATCCTATTTATTATTTTTTACTTGTTATCAACAAAAAAACAAGATTTCAAAATTAAAAATAAATAATCAGAAAATAAATATATCAGTCACTTGTAAGAATAAAAACTTTCAGTGTAATCAGACTTTAAAAATTAATAAGTAAACTTCAATTTGTTGAAAATAAGCTTTTGGTTTATTTTGGCTTTAAAAATTGTCATCCTATAAAAAAATGTAGTAAATCTTAATTATGTCAAAAATTAGATTTCTCACCATAATAAAAAACTTATATAAGCATATAAAATCCTATTGAAATTATTATGAAATAGCTGTTAAAAAATGTGCATTTCACCACAAGCCACACTAGAATTAAATTGTTTTATTCGTGCTTTGTAAAAAACTCTTTATTAGGTCTTGACTAAAATTCTCACACACCTTTTTTTTACCACATACCCCCCCCTCCTTCCTTCTCTTGTATTAAGCAAGCAAGACTACTATATTTAACAATTACTGTATTTTGAGAGTTCATCTTGTATATATTTGTAATTTGAAAAAAAGATTCTTCTATCTTCTATTGCAAACTGAGAACCATGATCTATCAACAAAAGAATTTTTAGCTGAAAATTTTATGCTTCTATGAAGACTTTTATTACCAAAAATGATGGATTGACACTTTAACAATATTACTACTATTTATCTAAAAAATCAATATATAAAAAAATGTTTACTAAATCTAAATTTATTAAACTATATACTAAACCTATTAAAAGCATCATCAAACATTAAAAAATGTATATGTTTATGAAGTTTTAAAACTTTAAAGTAAAACCTAAATGCACCACTTAAGGTCCCTTATGTTTCATATGAGATTAACAATTTTATGACTAAATTTGAAGCAAATCTGATAATAGTTTGGGGTTGCTATCATTTTTATATTATTAATTAAAAACAAAAATACTGTTGTTTTTACAATTTTAGTAATAATACAATTACTTACAGCAACAGCTGCAACCTGCATGAACAGATACAGCATTTTTTGGTGTTTGAGACAGCTAACTGCCAGAAATGGAGCCAACTCCAAACATTTATATGTTTATACGTATGTCAAATTTGAATGCTTTGCAAAAGATTGAAGATTTGAGCCTGGGAATAAAAAAGCCTATAAATTTCTGACCCCCCCCCCTACCCTAGACATGAGAGCAAAAGTGTACTGCACATAAGTTCAAACTGTGAGCAGAGCAAGAAATAAAAATTGCTTGTGGGTTATTCTGTCTAATCAAAAATGTAATTCCATTGTAAATACCTGTTATATTAGCGCCATTGTCATAGCCTTGACCACAACAATTTTTTATGTCAAGCTCCTTCTCTTTCATAAAATAATTAAAACACAATCTGCATCCAAATATCCTTGTTATCAGTATTTCAGTCTAAAACAGTTTATTGAATCATCTCTGATAGTTCTACATTTGATGCAGTTGGAAAATTTTTTCTGTGCAAATCTACATGTCATAATGGTAAAGATGAATGTTGTGATAAGAATGTATTTTTCTACACACTCTTTTGATAAACTTTTTAAGTTTTAAGATAAACTAGATTGGTTTTCAACACATCTGGTTTTGTCACTAAAAACGATTCTGTCTTTTCTTTGCCAACTGTTAAAACAAGATTAAAGAGTTTGGCTGTGCACTGTGTTACATAAAAAGACAATGGTTTCCAATAGTCTAATATTCATGTTCACTAAAGGTGAAAATCATTTGCTGCAGCATCTGGAATTTTACCAAGGATAATATATATATATATATATATATATATATATATATATATATATATATATATATATATATATATTTTTTTTTTTTTTTTTTTTTTTTTTTTTCTTTGGCTTACTTAAGTTTCTTTAAACTTTTTCAAGTTTCTTTAGTTTCTAAAGATAGATCAATCTCAGCCATATTGTAGTTTGATGAATTTTCTTGATGCATTATTATAAATGTTTCATCTTTATTTTTAAAAACTGTATCTTTTGTTGATAAGTCAAAGAGTTCTACAAGATCAACTTTCTTTTTTTATACAACATTCTGTTCTTTTTAAGAAAATATTCATTAAGTTTTCTTGAGTTTTTTTCAGCATTGCTAACTTTTTAAGTTGCAATCCTACCTTTTTCCTAGATTGTTAGTATTTCCTCAATGATCTAATACTCTTCTAGACCTTTTGTTTTTTTCTAAAAAAAAAACAAAAGGTGTAGAAGAGAAAAAAAAGCCTATGAAAGCTCCCCTCACAAATATCCGAGCAGTCAACAGTGTTTTGGTTGGCTTGCTAATGAGCACACTTCAAATTAAATAAGAATATACATTAAATACAATAAAATCTAAACTATAAATTAAGTCACTGTACTGGTTTTATAGACTGATTTTCTACTTTCTAATCAATCAATTAGTTTTGAAACTCTAATGTAAAAAAAAAAAAATTTTTTATGAAAAAAAAATACTTTAAATTGGTGGCAGGAAAAAGCATATCAGACAATATAACAGTATATCTAAAAAATCATAGCAACCCCAAAAGCTACTATAAATAGTCCAAGTATTGGTATAAAATAACTAATAAAGTATTGGTATAAAGTAACTAATAAAGATATACAGGCAACCTTAAGGGAAATGATTTGTTAAACATTTTTTTCATTATATGATGAATCACTTAGTTCAATTTTATCAAATGACTAAACAATCTGATTAACACACAATGTATCAAACCTGACTAAAACAATTTGACAAACCTGACTAAAACAATGTAACAAACCTGACTAAAACAATGTGGTTTATATAATTAAATTGTTACAAGACCATCAATCGAAAAAATGAGAAAAGTTTTACATTTACTAATTCAATATTAAATAAATATAATACAATATAATGAATTGAATATTTGTTTTACACAAACCGCAAAAAAAAAAAAAAAAAAAAAAAAATTAAGTTTTAAAACATAACTTTGAAATTTACTAAACATATTTACAAAAATTTATGAAAATGTACACTACAAATGTTAAATGTTTCTTCTTCATAAAGAAATACAGTGAAAATAAAAATATTAAGATCAGGGAACTTCCATAAAATAGAAAAGAAATCAAAATCTATTTTATTAAAAATAGCAAAATAAGAACATAAATCATGATACAAAAAAAAGGGGGGTTAAAAAAATAACAATAGTAGGGGTTTAAAAAAAGGTTGAGCCCAAACTAACTTTATTCCTAATAAGGACTTAATTTTCATGATATACAAAATTAATTATTGAATTAAAATTTTTAAATCTATAAAAGAATGTGCTGCTTTAAATTAAAAAATGTTACAAAATAGTTTCTTTTAAAATTATGACTTTGTCAAGCAACATTTTTCTTATGCTTTATCCAAATTAAAAACGAATGAATAAGGCTATCAAATAAACTAGTAATTTATTTAGAAACTTTTTCCAAATAAACTTTAAAATTAACTCTGTAGAGAAACAAGTATACAAGATAACAGTGGATCAGACATCATAGAACTCATGTTTTTTACGATGATGAGGTAATGATGAAAATGGCGAAAACCAAGTAATTCCAAAATCTCCTCCAAATGTATCTTTTAAGCGTTCTTTCCTAAAAAAAAACAATAACTAACATTCACTTTAACTTTTAATATCATTTTTTTTTTAGTAAACTAAAAAAAACAAAAAACAATTTCACTTTTTAGTATATTTATACTAAAAAATAAATAGAGAAATGACAGAAGAATATGTTATAACAAAATTTTTAGATAAAATTTGGTAGTAAAGTACAATAAAACAATGTTTTATTTTTAAACTGGCAATATGCAACAACAAACCCTTAGAGGAGGAGAATCAACAATAAATGTCAATTATCAGAAAACTGTAAACAAACCTATTTAATGAATTATTTGGGACAAGGGTGTTATGCATTAAAAAAAAAAATTTAATGTAGAATAGTTAAACGTTATATAAACATTTGTTATTTGTACAGTTTTAGGTTATGCTTCTCTTATTTTATACAAAATTATGAACAGTTTTTTGTTTTAATCAGTCACTGATTAAAACAAAAAACTTTCAGTGTAAACAGGCCTTAAAAATCGCCTACTAAGTAAACTTCAATTTATCGAAAATAAGCTTTTGGTTTATTTCTCACTAAAGTATAAAACTTATATCAGCGTATTAAATCCGTATTATTATAAAACAGCTGTTAGAAAATGCGCATTTGACCTCAAACCACGCTAGAATTAAATAGTTTTATGCGTATTTTGTAAAAAATATTAGTTTCGATTTAAAAAAGTAAAATTTTTAATAAAAAATACTCATATTATAACATAACAAAATCCCCCCCCCCCAACTATTTATATATATTGCAACATAAATAAAATTCTCCCCCCTCCTCCTTCTGAGTTTAGATAAATAGATAAGGCGTGAGTTTATTAGATCTGGATCAAAATTTCCCCTCCTCCCTTGTATTAAGGACTTGAGAGTACCTATAAATGCCAAAATTAATGCCAAAAATGAATTTTCCATAGTTTTTTTTTTTTTTTTAATGTTTGTAGTTGACATTGTTTTTGTATTTACCCTCAGTTAAGCTATTGTTATGATTTTTAGTGTTATTTAGTGAGTAATGCATTTGTATATAAATATATATATATATATATATATATATATATATATATATATATATATATATATATATATATATATAACAATAATAATAATAATAATAATAATAGTAATAATTGCAAAAATTACCAGTTCCCTTGTTTAACTCGTGCTTCTTTTTTTAGATGCTCAATTCCCTAAAATTATAAAACTGCTAGGTTTTATCAGATACTATTACATATTTAATACATTTTTTATCAGATATTAATACATATTTTATCATATTAATACATATTAATACATATTTTATTATATTAATACATATTTTTTACATGTTTTATCAGATATTAATACATATTTAATACATGTTAAGAGAATCTTCTAACTTTGTTGAGATGGTTATTTGGTTATTATTGCATATTATGCTATTAAAGAAATAATTGAAAACCTACAGTCTCATCATGTATCACAGAATTTAATTGAGTACAAAACATAATCATGGTGAAAAGACCGAACAATAATCCTTCAAAAAGAAGGAACACAATAAAGATAATCGTGGTAGGAGGTGAAAATATTGTGCACCCTAAAATGAAAAACAATTATGTTAGAAAAAAATAGTTACAAAAACTACTTTCATTTACATAAACAAAAACATTTTAGAATTCAATTCCCCCCTCCCCCTCCCCCCCCTTTTTTTTTTTTTTTTTTTGAAAAATATAATTTTTAAAACTTTGATAAATTAGGCATACTACAAAGCCTTTCATGTTTGCATTTTATTAAAATCGTTTATATTTTATTAAAATTATTTTATATTGGTAAACTCCTAAAATAAAAACACCTAATTTTTTTGGCATTGTTATTTTTAATTATTAAATCTAAAATATTTTATTTTTTTCAAATAACAATGACTTATGCAATGGTAAAGTAAGGGAGCCATGATCATTATGATAAAGCTGCTTAATTAAATGATGAGCTTGTAAAGAGTTAAAAATTAAAATAAAAAGTAAGGTGCTGATAGTTTACTAATAACACATAGAGGCAAGTTCAAGATATTTTAGAAAAAATCAATTGTTATATACTAGGGTCATTCAATAATTAACGAGACAAATTACTATTACTCAAAAATTTATTCAATCAGTACAAATATTTCATTAATTTTCAACATAGTCCCAGCAACTCTTTTACACTTGTCCCATCTTTCTGCTAATTTGTAAATGCCTTTGGCATAAAGTTCTTTGGGTTGATCTCAAAGCCACTTTTGCACCTGGTTTGTGACCTCTTCATTTCATTAAAAATATTTCCCTCATAGACCCTTTTAGAGGGGTCTAAACAGATGGAAATTTAATCAATTTCTTCAATTCGGTTATATTTCGATCAAATTTTATTTACTAAAAATGTCTAAGGTTGTTAAAAGAAAGCTATCAAATAGAACTTTGAAACAAACATCAATTTTGGACTTATTTTATTTATAGTATATATTATATATGCAAAAATTTTACATAAGATTAAATTGTTCTATATATATATGTACATAATATTTATATTTCAAGGAACATTCGTTAAGTCTCAAAATCTCAATAAGTCAGATGTTTTTAAAAAGTCTGACTAAACGAGACCTTTGCTTAATGTAGACATTCGTTAAGTCGGACAATAAATATATACCCCTTCAGAGTCCAAGTTAACAGGATTCTACTGTATATATACCAGTGGCGTGCTGGCCCCAGAGGTTATGCGGGAATCCCACTTGGGCCTATCGCTATTTATCCTAGAAAGGCCTTTTTTATGAATTTTTATACCCTTCATAGCATTCTGAAAATGATTCACAAATGATACATATTAGCTTTATTTTTATTCCACAAGTTAAATTCTTCAACAAATCTCTGATTCGAACTGTTGGACTTCAAGCACATATATATTAGTATTTTGCATAATAAAGTGCAACCGTTTATAACTTTTGCCTCAAAACAAAGTCGATATTGGAAAAAATAATTGATCGTTACTTCACTTAAATCACTTATTATATCAGTCATTATATAGATATAATTGTGTTCAATTTTAAGATATGGAAAAATATTCATACTGATAAAATTTTTGTTAAATTAGAACAATTATTTATTTTTTCATAAACAAAAAACGTAACGTTTTTAAATATAAATAATTTGTGTGAGTTTTTATAAAATTGCTCTTATTGTAAGTTCTACAGATATTTAAAAAGTAGTTAAAGATTTTTTCTATATATACGAATAAATAAATAAAGCATTTTATTTCTATTTAAAAGTATTCTGGATTCATTCATTTCAGAGACCACAAACACATTGAAACTAATATTTAACATTATAAACTTTAGCAACCACTTTTTTTTTCAAAGAACATAGTTGTAAAGTCAGTGTTTGTTTTAATTATAGCTTCTTTTTTTTTAAGATTTAGATAGAATATAGAATCTTAAAAATTGTATACATTCTATTTGATCTTCAAGTTGATAAGATCGTAAGGACTTTTTATGGCACGTAAAAAAAAAAAATTGTTGCACTGTTGTTTTTTTAACACTTCCTCTTGTACTAATGCTTGTACTTTATAAATAACTTTTCATCACTTCTCTATGGTTCAGGGTGTTCCATAAAGCAAACTTTTTTTTTTCGTGAGCAAAGATTTACAAATATATATAATCTATCAATCTTAAAATTAATAGTTATTAAAATAATTATATATTTTAATAATACAACTAAATAATGGTATAGTTATTACTAAAATATAATATAATAAAAATTTTCTTTTGAAAACTTTATTTATATAACATAAAATACAATAATTCTTGTATATGTAATAACGCTAAAACATAAATATATAATAAATATATATATATATATATATATATATATATATATATATATATATATATATATATATATATATATATATATATATATATATATATATATATATATATTCATCTAACTACCGTCCCATTAGTCTTCTTCCTGTCATAAGCAAGGTTTTTGAATCTTTAATCAACAAACACTTAATCTCTCATCTTGAATCAAATAACTTACTTTCTGATCATCAATATGGATTTCGGTCTTCTCGTTCTACAGCTGATGTGCTAACAGTAATAACCGATAGGTTTTACCGTGCATTAGATAGAGGTGGAGAGGTTAAGGCTATCGCACTTGACATTTCTAAAGCTTTTGATAAAGTTTGGCATGCTGGTCTTCTCCATAAGCTTTCTTCTTATGGTGTAGCTGGTAACGTCTTTAAGATTATTGAGTCCTTTCTTTCCAATCGTAGTATAAAAGTTGTCCTCGATGGACAACACTCTTCTTCACATCCTGTAACTTCAGGGGTTCCTCAAGGTTCAATCCTTGGCCCTATACTCTTTTTAATTTACATTAACGATCTTCCAGATATTCTCACATCTAAGGTGGCATTATTCGCTGATGACACTACCATTTACTCTTGTCATGATAAGAAGCCTACACTCTCTGATTGCTTGGAGGGGGTATCTGAGCTTGAAAAGGATCTCACTTCTGCTACAGCTTGGGGCTCACAGTGGCTGGTGAACTTTAATTCAGATAAAACTCAATTTTATTCGGCCAATCATTATCGTAATAATTTAGATCTTCCTATATTTATGAATGGTAATGTACTAGATGAGTCATCTACCATTCATCTTCTAGGATTAACTCTTACTTCTGATCTTTCTTTTAAACCGTATATCAAATCCATTGCAAAATTAGCATCTGCTAAGGTTGCATCTCTTTATCGAGCTCGACACTTTCTTACTCCAGATTCTATTCTCTATCTCTATAAATCTCAAATCCGTCCCTGTATGGAATACTGTTGCCACATCTGGGGCGGATCTTCTAATGATGCTCTTTCTCTTTTAGACAAGGTGCAAAAACGAATTGTAAACATAGTTGGACCTGCTCTGGCAGCCAATCTCCAACCTTTGTCACATCGTCGTAATGTTGCTTCTCTTTCTCTTTTCTACAAATACTATAATGGGCACTGCTCTAAAGAGCTAGCTTCCCTTGTGCCATCTACTAAAATTCATTCTCGTGTTACTCGCCATTCAATTAAGTCTCATCCTTTTTCTGTGACTGTTCCTAAGTGCTTCAAAAACTCTTATTCTTCTAGTTTTTTTCCTCGAACATCAGTTCTTTGGAATTCGCTTCCTTCATCTTGCTTTCCTGATTCATATAATTTGCAATCTTTTAAGTCATCAGTCAATCGTTATCTTGCTCTACAGATTTAGTCTTTTCTCTTCCAGTAACTTCCAACTCTTATAGTGGTTGCTTGCAGCCTTGTTGGAAGTGAAGATGTTAAAAAAAAATATATATATATATATATATATACATACATATTTAAATATATATATACATTTAAATATATATATATATACTTATATTAAAAAAAAATACATATATATATATATATATATATATATATATATATATATATATATATATATATATATATTATATATATATATATATATATATATATATATATATGTATATATATTATATATATATATATATATATATATATATATATATATATATATATATATATATATATATATATATATATATATATATATATATACATATATATATATATATAATAATTTATTTAAATATATATAAATATGTGGGCCTTCAAATCAAGCATACTTGGCGAAATCCCGCATAAATGGGCCTTTTTGAAAAAAAACCCGCATGTGCTTTTAGGAGCTAGCACGCCCCTAATATATATATATATATATATATATATATATATATATATATATATATATATATATATATATATATATATATATATATATATATATATATATATATATATATATATATATATATATATATATATATAAAACAATTGTCTTTTTCTAAAATGTTACTCAAGAAGGTCTGTATAATCTATATTATTTTTAAAACAATAGAAAAATATCATAATAACAATTGCTGACCATAATTTAAATCATAAATCAATTTAAATAATATAAATCATAAATAACAAATCATAAATCAATTTACACAGTTTTTTAAGAAAGCAATGAATTATTTTAAATTTTTAGAAATACTACTTATTTATATTGTTAAAATACAAAATTTTAAAAACAACATCTTTAAATTTTAAAATGATAAAATATAATAATTATAAAATAACAACAAAAGATTTGTCTTCTATAAATATAAAAATTTGTCTTCTATAACAATATGTACTTTATAAATTAAGCAACCTGTACATTTTTCATAAATTTTGTTGAAAAAAATTTAAATATAGTATTTGCAAAACTTACCTTTCCAATCATTATCAGAACATCTTAAAACATAATGAATTGCTAGTGCCATTGAGTATGCAGACAATGTCATAATATAGAACTGAAATATTTATTAACAATTGAACTTCAGATTAGAATAAAAGAAACTAAAAATTAATTTTATTTATATATTAGAAATATCACTAACTGTAAATAGAACAAAATACTTCTGATTGAATTCACCAACACAATTATTAATCCTATTAAAAAAAAAAATCAGAATATTTATTGGATTAATGAACTCATTAAAAATTAACAATTAAGAAAATTTTCATACAAAAAGTTTTAAACAAAATGATATCAGTATATAATAAACCTTCGTAGCTAGAGATAAGTTTCATACCCTCTCTATGATTAACATATTAAAATAAATTATTTTTCAAAATGTTAAATACCATGGACAATGATGATCCATTTTTCTTATGCAACGCTGACATGTACTACAATGGTGTGCTCGCTCAGTTTTTATACATTCACACCGTGTGCACCGAACAACCACATCTCCAGACTTCAATCCTAAATGTTTCACATTTTCATCTGTAAAATTTCCTTTAGGTATTGTTCCCTGTGAAAAAAAAATTTATATACACATATATTTACTTATCAGTTTTCAGACAAATATAGATCAAACCATTAGTGGTCTATATACTCAAATAGACCACCAGTAAAAACCTATGCCCAAATAGACACCTGAGCATTGATGTTTTTTTTTAAATTTAATTAAAAATTTCTTGATAAAATACCAATAATGAAAAGACGATTCAGTGATTTTATATCACTCATCAATATTGTATCAAATAGTTGATGCCGTGTTGTTATCTTTTCTCTAATAATTATTATATAACGGAAAACAGGGCATTTAGTTATTTTAGAGAACAGTTTTAAACAAAACTGTTCTCTAAAATAACTAAATAAAACTGAGTTTTTAGAAAGAAAAAAATCTGTAAATAAATACAGAATGTCAACTGGATCTATATCCATTGATTATACCGTCCTGTTTCTTAGAGTTAGATCTTGAAAGCTTCTCAAAATTTTCTCACTTATCAATATATTTTGTAAACAAAAAGCTTTAAAAGTAGATTTAAACAGATTTAAAAATTTAAGACTCAAATAACTTAAAAACAGGTTGTTTAGGTTTAAATTGTTCATATTGATTTTCAACAAACACTAATTTTTTGAAAATGATTAAAAAGTCTCATATTTAAACATTTTAATCAAATCAATAAAAATGTTAATTTTTAGGTTTTTAACATGTACAAAATGAGCTGAAACTCTGGTTATAAAGTTTTTTGTATTGTTTTAATAAAAAGATCTAGAAGATTCAATTTTTTGGTTAAAAAATCTTTATCTTTAAGCTTCTACAATGGAGTATTTTTTGTTGGTAGAAAATGTTGAGTAGCTTATTAACACGTTTAACTATTTGCTACATACGCACCTATAACAAATGTGATTTTTAAAAATTCTAATCTAAAATCAATTTATAGAAAACATTCAAGCAATATGACAATATAGTTTTTAAGAAAAAAATTATATTTTTTTGTTCTTTATATTGCCTGGTAGATATTCAATTTTTTATTATGCTACTTAAACAAACTCAATTGATGTTATTTATTTTTAAGAGTAAAAAGCAGTATCAAGAATAAAAAAATAATGAAAATAATAGCGAAACAAATTTATCTGATGCTAATTTAGAAAATTTGTAAAAAAAACTTATTTAGCCTAGTTTCAAAACAATACTTGAATTTTTTTTCCTTCATTTTAACATCAATTGTTAAATTTTTAAAAAAGTAATCCTTAAGTATAGAAAATTTGGCGTAAAATGGCACTGAAATGAAATAAAAAAACAAAACAAATCATACCAAAAGAAATAAAAACATTTCATACATAATTTCTAAACAAAATTTCATAAGTACCATATTTTCAAGAAAATATAAACAAATACTTGATTTGAATAGAGGAAAGGCTATACTTGTTTGTTTCACAGGGAACTTTTGAGAAAATGTTTTTCTGAAAAGTTCCCTATGAAGTTCTCTTTGTAGTTATAGCTGGAAAGAAATTGGGTTAAACTAATTAATGCAAAATACCTCAAGGTTCTAGCTTTATTATAAAAAAGACACAAGAGAGTAAAATTCATGAAAATTACGTTTTTTTTGTCAAAAATCAAATGTTTTACATTGTGCTCTGGAATCGGCACCTATATATATCATAAATTAATAAAATATTCATTAATTTTTTTTTTGTTGCATAATTCAATTACATGGTTATACTGGTCAAAATCTAAAAAAAATAATGCTTAGTTGTGATATTTCTAGGCAGAACTTTAAAACAACTTTAAAAAGTATAATAACTACACTTGCAAAAACAGTTTAAGTAGCTAGAAAAGCAATAACAAAATAATGAAAAATGAGATAAGGGAGATAAGGAGTAAACAAGATTGAAGATTACAGGTAAAAAATTGGTGAAAGTGTTAAACATAGAATAAATACAAAGATAAAAAAAAAATACAAGATAAAAAACCATTATTTTTACAAATATTATTTAACAAGGTGTGTTATTCAGAATTTTCAACTCTTTTATTTCAACTGATTTAAAAAACTTTAACTAAATTTAAGAATATTTTTAAAAATTTATAAATTTTTCAAGAAAACTTATAGTACATATTAATAAAGTTTTCAAGATAAGTCAGTGTATAACAATATTCATTTTTGAAATAACATAAAAACATTAAAAAGTAATTTTTATTTACCTTAGAAACTTTTACATTTAATTCAATATTATTTAAATCTAGTTCTAATATATTTTCTAAAATTTCATAAACAAAATTAAACTTTATTTCATTGGAATTTAAATTGAGGAAAATAAACGTACAGGGTTTGTAGTCATAGCTCTTAGATGAGAACAACCTGCTAAAATGCCACAGCAACTAAACAATATTGCATGGATATAACTCCAGGGTGATCCTGGGAAAAAAGGAAGAAGTATAACACCTATCACCACAAATTCTCCAAATAGTATTAAAATGTAAGTGAGTCCGGAGCAAGTAATTCCTAAACCATCAACTACAAACCAATCAGGTCTACAACGACAACACTGAAGTTTCATTTTTGTTGAGTCTGTTTTTGCAGTTTCCTTATTATTGACTTCTGGTACTGATTTAGAATTAGAATCACCGTTTTTGCTAATTATATCTTCAAATTTAATATATTCAGTCATAATAAAGCATTTTTTTTAAAAAGAGAAAAAACAATCAATATGTGGTACTGCTATGCAACACTATCCACCATATTAAAAAAAATCGATAAACTTCTACCGGGTTTTAGATCACTGTTTATAAGAATTCGGTATACCTACGGTTTACTAGTCGGATTGAGATTCGGTATGCCATTTGGTATACTAATCTACGCCAGTGGGAACAATTCATTGAAATAGGTGGCCAAAAAAATAATCGTTGTGTGTATATGTGTGATATTAGGCCTTAATTGAGTAAAATAGAGAGTTGTTATAATATTTTTATTTTTTTATTTAACCAGCTCAAAGGCGCAGCAAGAGGAGGAGAAGGAGGGGAGGGTGCAAAGATACTTATAGCGCTAGGTGCAGCAGTTGGATTTTTACATATGAAATCCTCGGGCATTGTCCAAGCAATGGACAATTTCCAAAATGCTTCAAATTTATTATGTTCGTGCTTAAGTCAAAATATATCATTTAAACGATATATAATAATAATAAAAATAATAACAAAAAAAAAAAGCTAACACATAAACTTTTGGGTATTCTTGTTTCCAAACTCCAATGATTTGAGTCGAATAACTCAAATCATTGTCGAATAACTCAAATCATTTTTTTAGCAAAATTTTGCGGGGTGTATAAGTTATCTCAAGGTTAGTTGCGGATAAACTAATCATAGTAAACACTGTTTTTTATAAACTTCCTTAAGTTTACTGATTTAAGAAAACGAAAAAACAAAGCAAAAAATTTCTATAAATAAGCTACAACAACTAAAGTAACGAAACTCTAGACTAGCAAAATTTTCACATTTTGCAAGTGGGTGGGGCAAAAGGGACATTCATTAAGCAGCCGTTATTCATTAATTGTCAAGCTTTAAAAATGATAAAAAACGAAAGCTATCTATAATTTAAACATGTTTAGACATTAAACTCTCAAAAAATTAACATACTTATAAAAAACTTCACGCCCATACACTCATACACCATAAAAAAGAAACAGCAACTAAAATGAAAAAAAAAAAAATTTATTATAAAATACCTCCGCTCTACCATAACCTATATAATATAAATTTAAAATAAAACAAAAAATATTATAGGTTACATAAATCACACAAAAAATATCCTGAAACTATTTGGCAACATTTTTGATGAGCAGGCTCATTAGCAATAAGCTAATGTAGATCAATTTTAAATATGCTATATGTATCAGAAGCTTTAAGAATTCTAAGTTCCTTTTTAGTAACAGCTAAACGGCATTTTATCCCATTTTGGATGATTGATCTTTCTTATATATTATTTTTTACTATTGTTGTTAAGCATTAAACACTATTAATAATCAAAGTTAAGTTATAAAAAATTAAAATTTCTTTGAATTTATTACTAATATTGCTTTTTTAAATCAGTAAAATATTATTTTAGATTAAAAATAAAATCTTGAAACTCCAAACCAAACAGTATCAAGAAATATAGTCAGTTATATAAATAACTTGTTGTCCTGATATGCCCCACAAAAGTTATTTTACTGAAATATATTTTTTTATTGTTTGATGAAACTTCATAAGCCCAATAGAGTATGTGCATCGTGTCTGTGAAGCCATTGCCTAAAGAATCCAAGAAAATCTTTGTATCTTTGCAAAAACTTCATGATCTTAATCTACTGGTTAATTGAATGAAATAATCTACTGGTTAATTGAATTAAATAAATATCTGTTGAAACGGATTTTTTATTTTAATTTATCAGCTTCACAACCTTTTGGTTCAAAGCTCTTCAAGCCATAAACTTTGTCAGGGTTTCAGAAAACATTTCCTAAGATGATTAAATGAAGCTGATCAGTACTCTTATTGAGGATCTCACCAGAGTGCAATCGTTTTTACCTAACATTATTAATAAAACCCATTTGACTGCCTCCGGTCATAAATGTTTCATGAATAAGCCAGGAACAAAGCTCATTTCAACGAAAGAAAAACAGTTAAAGGTGAAAGTATTCAACAGCGCTTTCGATGCCCTTTTTCAACAGATAAAAGACAAATTTTAAAATGGTAGCCAATAATAATCAACGGTCATTGGTTTTTGAAAAATAATATATAAAGTTTAGAACGTTTAGAAGACGTTTAAACTAAACCATTATTTAATTTTAAATCACTAAGAAGTTTATACTTTTATTTATAATTACTTAACATACTGTAACATCGCTTTCGCAAGTACCAATCATACAAAACTAAAAAAGTTTTACAGTAAACAAAAGCATGTTGAATTTTATTTGGAGCAAGAGAGAAGAGTCTTGCGAACTTCTCTTGTGTTTACTTGAAGGATTAAAAATTTATAATATCAGTTTACATCAAATTTTAGATTATATGTAAAGAACTAAGCTGGAAATAGTCTAATGTATAAAACTAACTTGATATTTGTCATAAATACATTACAAGGTTCTTAGAGAACAACTTTGTTGTTTCAAAATGTAGCTCGAAATCAAGCTTATACTCAATTAAGTACCGTAGACCGTATCTATGGAAAACACTTCTAGACATAGGCATTATTTCAGACAATAAAATAAAAACTAATAAAAACTAATAAAACTAATAAATAAAATAAAAAGCTAATTAAAAGATAACCACTCTAGATCAACTTAAAAAAAACGGTTCTTCATATTTATAAGTTACACTATGCTAGAAGTTATATGTGTTTCTTTTAAATAAAATTAAACTCAAATAAAAAATTAAGATAAATTAAAATGTTATTATCAAAAGCCATATAACAAAGTTTAAAAATGATATTCACTTTCTTTCAGAATGGTATGTGTATGTGTGTAATATTTATTTGTTTCTTGCTACTGTAAAAAATGTAAGCAATTTAGCAATTACTATTTGCTTATTCGTGTATTAAAATTTATATAAAACAATACTGTATATTATCTTCTAGTTTATATATTTATGTTTTTATAATAAGATATTTATAAATCGCGATTTTATAAAAATGGTGCTAAGTGATTAGACATTTTCTTGCTTCAGTATTTTCTTTTATTGTATATGTATGTATATGAAAATAGCATTTATAGCAAAAAGCGAAGTAAACAAACAATAGTATCTAAAGCGTTTAACTGACGTTCAGAACGTAACTTTTAAAAACAAACGCTTAATATTAATCAATATTAACAACTTGAAATATTTTTTTGACATTATCAAAACTTTTCATAGAATAACTGGAGATGATGGTTATTACGGCAGTATCCTGGAGCTTCATTTTCTTGATATCCCATTTGCTTCGGATTGTTCTTTTTCATGCTACATACTCTTCAAATAATTCTAGTGCTTCCTGCAAAAAAATACAAAACGTAATAAAGTAGATTTATTTAAAACAATTAAGTTTTCAATCACAAAAACTTTATTTGTGAGCCAACGCGGTGTTGGTATTGTCTAAAAAAAACACATTAATAGCAGTTTCTGTCAGTTAATGAGACCCTGAGTTAGATAAATCTAGCTTTTTTTTAATTTTTATTTAGGTGGGTTTTGTGCGTGATACTTAATTAAGGTTCCTATGACCCAGCTCACGCAATTCCGGTGACCTGAGTCATAAAGTAAACTGACCGTGGCATGGCAGGATGCAATTCGCGTTGCTCATAAAATAGAAAATGTGATTTGTTTACATAAAATTGAAAGCGTGGTCAGTTTATTCTCAACTCGACTTATATTTATCAAAAAAATTTAAGTTTCATAGTTTTATTTTTCAGCGTTCTAAAATAATGACCATGTACACACAATTTTAAGGCTTTTTTGCTCCTAGCCTCCAACCATTGCAATTTTTTGCAAAGCATCATCATTTGACATATGTATAAACATACAAATGTTTGGAGCATAAATATACAAATGTTTGATCCATGTCTGGAAGTTAGTTATTTCAAACACCAAAAAATGCTGGATCCGTAACTGAGCATAAGTTATAGATTGTCCAAGATGAGATTTTGTTAAAAATTTTTATTTAAATTTTACTACTTACTCGTCATAACTACTTTGCGTAACTCCGATTTACGTTTTTTTTTTCTCGTAATTTATGTACCGGTGTCTACCAAAAGATCGAAAACATACAAACTTTAAGTTATTATTCCAGAGCACAAAACAAGGTTGTGACTGGAAACGGTTCGACTTTTTAGCAGTAAGGATAAAATTATTAAAATGGTAAGGATTTAAATCTTTTTTTGAAACCGAATTTTATATTTCAACTTCATATTTATATCTCTCTTGCATTTATTGGTTTACTGCAAGACAATACAAAATACACCTTTAATTATATATAAGTTGGACTTTATTGTTAAATAACTAAGGCAAAAAAACATTTAAAAACTAAAACAATTAAACAATGCTATTTTAAATTAATTAACAATAACCACACTTGAAGAAGTTGGAAATCTTTAAAAGATGGATGAGATTGATTAAATTTTAGAGATTTTCATAACTTATTAAAATCTTGGTGTAGTGTAAAAATCAGAAAAATCTGGGACTTAGGGTTGCATGCCCTGAATGTTTTCACATGCCCGTTTACAATGTTACAAAAGATTTAAGATCTTTTTAAAGGTTTTGAACTTCTTTACATCTAATAATTATAAAATTATTTGTTAAAAGATTAAAAGTACTTATACAACTTCCAAATATGATTTTTATTTTTTAAATTATTTTAACATCTTTTTTTTTACACATAAACTATTTTTAGTAAGGCTTAAAAGGATTATTGGTAGTTCATATGCATCAAATTTTTATTGGTAGTTAATGTGTGTTAAAGTTTTATTGGTAAAATAGCATTGTTTATTATACGCTTTAATAGTTTAGAGTTTATTTAAAAGTATTATCACTTAATGTGTACTATATTGTTTATAAGTCTGAGGTTGAAGAGACATTAAAGAGAATTGGAAGTCACAAAGGAGTCATTGGTATCATAGTTGTTAATCAAGAAGGTATTTTCTTTAAATATTACTTTTTCAATATATTTCTCCTTAAACATTAGAGTTTAGAGCAGTGTTGTTGACTTGTTGTTGTCAAATCCTAAAACACATTAAAGTCAAAAATAATAATAATAGACAAGTGTTTTCTTGATTATAATGAACACCTTATAAACAATATAACATTTAAGAAGAGTTTTTAGTCTGATGAAAATTTTCAAACAAAGTTTAAAATTTTTTAAATATTGTTGTAACAAATCTTTTTTATTCTGTTATTTTTTATATTAGTTTTTGTATATATATATATATATATATATATATATATATATATATATATATATATATATATATATATATATATATATATCCGTTTCAATTAACTAACTTCGATCTATACTTACGTTTTTATTTTATTGAATTTAAATAAAGTAGCAAGTCACTGCTAATGATTTTTCATAAAAACATATATATATATATATATTTTTAAAAGTATTTATTTTTTATTATAAATGTTTTTAAAGAAAAAAAAATTAAATTGAAATTTTAAGTAAACGATTTAACTATTTTTTTTTTAAGTGCCAAGAATTAAGAGTCTTCTTTTAAACTTTTAAATGTGCGTGTTTATTAAATAATCTTCAGTTGTTGTTACTTTATTTAAAAAGCGTTTCGCATAATTTGCATAATTATATTAAAAAAGCTTATCGTTATAGTTTATTATTAAATTTAGTTAAGTTTTAATTTTATTTCTGCTGTTTTAATTAAGTTATTATTTTTTTTGTTTTTTTTTGTTTTTTTACCAAGATTTATTTGCTTCTTTTACGTTTTTTTTTTTAAGTTTTCTTATAGTAAAGATAATTTTTTTAGCGCGTTTTTAAAACATATACGAATTTTCAAAACATATTAACAGCTGTGGTCAAGTTAAGTAAAATCAAATAGTATTTGCGTGGTCATATTATGATGTGAAATCTCACGCTTTCCTGGCCAAGCCTATATATATATGTATATACAGGCTTGGTCGGGAAGCGGGTGCGATCGCACTCGATATTTGACCACGGAAATTATATTTAGTTGCAAAAAGCCGGCCAGATTTTTTAGGCGTTTTGAGAATATTTCAAAAACAAGCAAAAAAGCGCAATAAGATAAACTAGACAAATAAGAGACAGTTAAAAAAAAAATAAAATAGCTTTAAACGCAAAACTTCAAGCAAAATAAATACGATTAGAGTTTCAAAATATTTTTGAAACGTCGCTCTTTTATAATTTTTTTTTTAAAAAAAAAAGCGACATTTTTTGTATATAGTAACAACGTACTAATAATGATTGTTTAATAAAGAAACAAATGTTCTTCAATTTATCAAAGATTATATATAATTTTTATTTATATACTTATGTCTTATTTCCAGTGCTGGAAATAAGAGGTGGGGGGAGGGGGTAGAATGGCTATAGTCCCGGGACACACAATGTTATGGGCCGAGAAATAGTCAAGAGGACCTATCGGTATTTTTAAGTCATTTTTATGCTGTCGCACATAAAAAAGGCCACCAAAATAATGCAACCCCCGGCCCTGTAAAGTTCAACAAGATTAAACCAATAAAACTAACGCTACATAATTTAATTATAAATAAAAAAAGTTTTTTCAGTACCTGTTTTATGCTTCGCGTAGTTTGAAAAGTTTAACATATTTAAAACAATTCTTCTTAGTAAGATAAACAAATGAAATAACTAAATCATTGAGTTACTGTGGAAATTTAATTAGCTAGGTAGAAATTAACTAAAAACGTTAAATTACTTTGTAAGGAGGAAGTGGAACTGCTAAACAATATCGCTGATGATGTTTAGTGAGTGGGCTTTATATCTTTAACTAGTATTTTACAGAAAAAAAAAACTTTAAGTGTAAGTATAACGAGTTTGTAAGAATGGCTGAAGCAAAAATAATTGAAGTTAATAAACCAATTTCTAATACAATACATACATATAAATACATCCCTTATATATAAAAAATAAGATTATACTAATTAAATCTATAATATATTTACAAAACGTTGACAAGTTAAAAAATATAAATTTAAAACATTTATTTTTGTAAACAAATGTTAGTTTAAAACATTTATAGCTTTATGGATGTGACTCCGAGAATGAGCCATTATATTAAAATGATTGTTCGTTTGATAGTATATTCTTAAAACAATTGATGCTAGAATTCTCAACGAAAAAATAACAAAAACAAAAAAAAAAGATTTTGAAAAATAATTCAACAGAATACTCTAGAACAGTCGCGTAGTAATTTCAGTTATTTATTAATTGAACTAATAGAATTAGTTGTTCGTAAATTTGGCGGGTTTTTTGTGTTCGCGAATATTCTTTATTTATTTTTCCGCACTAAGACGTTTGACAATATTCAAGTTTATATAAGTTTCCATGTATGTCCGTAAAAAAAAATCTTATAAATTTACGATAAAATGAACTTATTATTTTGCGAATAAACAAGGTAACATACATAAACTGAAATGTTCTCAAAACGCCTGAAAAATCTGGCCGGCTTTTCGCAAGGAAATATAATTTCCGTGGTCAATTATCGAGTGTGATCGCACCCGCTTCCCGACCAAGCCTGTATATATATATATATATATATATATATATATATATATATATATATATATATATATATATATATATATATATATATATATATATATATATATATATATATATATATGCTATAGTAGATAATATATTTACATATATATCAGGCTTGGTCGGGAAGCGGGAGCGATCGTTCTCGAATACTGACCACGGAAATTATATTTAGTTGCAAAAAACTGGCCAGGTTTTTTAGTTGTTTTGAGAACATTTAAGTTTATGTACGAAACAATGTATTTTGGTTTTACAGACATACATGTAAACATAAAAAACTTGAATGTTCTTAAAACATCTTGGTGCGGAAGAATGAAAAGAATATTCGCAAACTCTAAAAACCCGCCAAATTAACAAACCAAACTAATTCTATTGGTTCAAAAAATACGCCGATTAAGCAAAATAAAGTTCTAGAGTATTCTGTTGAAATGTTTTAGCAATTGTATTATTCACAATTTGTTACGTTATGAGATTACTAGCATAGATTTTTTTAAGAATATATTATGGCTCATTCTTGGAGCCACATCTGCATAGCCGTAAATCTTATAAACCATTATTATTTGTTTACATAAATAAATGTTTTTAATATATATTATTTAAATTGTGAAAATTTTGAAAGTTTATTATAAATTGTTGATTTTATATACTAATTTAAAGAGTATGTATTTTTTATATGTAATTTTGTGTATCTGTTTTTTATCGATTTAAATGATTGTAAACAAAGGCTTACAAAAATAATTGCGTTTTCAATGAAGTTATTAACAAGCATTAAAGTTAATAAAACTAAATATGTAGCAAACATATAAGAAGTTTCTTGTTACTAAACACAAACTGAATACAAAGTAACTCGCGGATGAGCAAGCACGGCGCCTGAGGTCACAACAGAACATAAATATATATAGCAAGTTGTTTGATATAAAGAAAAGTTTCTAGATATTGGTTCACTAAATCTAATTATTTTTGCTTAAGTTGCCATTCTTAAAAACTTGTTATACTTTTTTCGGCTTTAAATACTAATTAAAATTAAAAAGCCCACTCGCTTGACATCAGCGATATTATGAAGCAGTTTCGCTTCCTCGTCATAAAAGTATTTTTAACTTTTTTAGTTGATTTCTATCTAGTAAATTTAATTTCTTAAGTAATTCAATGATTTCATTATTTCATTTGTTTATCTTTCTAAGAAGAATTGTTTCAAATATGTTAAACTTTTCAAACTACGCGAAACATAAAATAGGTATTAAACAAATTAACTTTTTTTATTTATAAAATAATTTAGCTCCGATAAAACTAAAACTTGCAAACTTAGATAAATAAAGAACTTTTTTAAACAAACGTAAGATGTTACTTTATTTTAAAAACATTGCTTAATTTTATAAAAAAATTATAAATGCGATGTTTCGAAAATATATGTTCTAAACGTAATTTATTTTGCTGTTAGTTTTTTTGCGTTAAAAGATATTTTATTTTCCGAACTTTTTTTTTTTTTTGTAATTGTCTCTCATTGGTCCAATTAATCTTTCGCATTTTTTTTTTGCTCTTTGAAATGTTCTCAAAACGATTGGCCAGCTTTTCGCAACTAAATATTATTTCCGTGGTCAGCAATCGAGAGCGATCGCTCTCGCTTCCCGACCAAGCCTGATATATATATATATATATATATATATATATATATATATATATATATATATATATATATATCATATATCAGCTATAATATAATGAAATACGCTAATATGTTAGTTGCAGGATTTTACAATACTTTTTATATGGTGGTCTATAAAGAGTGTTGAACCTAAGGTATTACCGAGAATATTTACCAAGTTTGATGCAGCAAGAGTTACACCTGAAAATAAAAATTGGGTTTCGTCTTTAAATTTAAATGTTTGATTACTGGCTCCAAAAAAGACAGCTTCTGTTTTTTTTGGATTAAGCAATAGTCTAGTTTCAAGAAACCTTGTGGTTACTGCAGTTACACATTGAGCTATATTGTTTATGTGGTCTATCCCTGGTGTTATGGCAGTATATAGTTGAGTATCATCAGCATAATGATGGTGATTATATCCAAGTTTAGCTATAATGCGATTTATGGGAGACACTAACATGGAAAATAGAAATGGGCCAATAACACTACCTTGTCGTACTCCAGTTGAAATATCTAAGATTGATGATTTTGTTGTTCTGATAGAAACAAAAGTTTTTCGGTTAAGAAGGTATGAAGACAGCTATTCGATTGCAGTTCCTGAGATATCAAATTCTATTTTTGCACACTCTATTAGTAGAATCAAAGGCTGCTGATATTTCTAGAGAGAGGAGGATAGTAATTGATACATTATCAATGTTTGATAGAATGTCATTGCAAATCTTGAGGAATGCTGTTCTGTT